AGCTTTCACCTCAAATCGATTTCTTTAAACTCATTGGCTTGTAGTTTTGTCAGTTTTTTATAGTCAAATTAATCTATTGGTATTGTGATCTCAAGATTGTGGTTAATGGTAAGAAGTTGCAGAAGTTGTTCATAAAATGCTTTTAATGATTTCGAATGACCAACGTAGACACAGTTGTTAGAAGCATCTCAACTTTCAAGTCAGCACTAACAGCACTTCTATTTCATTGACAATTTTGATGTTTTAACTTAAACTGATCAAAGTTGTTGGATATTTTAGTGATAATTTGGTGTGGCATTATGTGATTAAAATTAGATTAAACCATTTTCCACCTAAGTTTGTTTATTATTAAATCTATTGTAATATCATTTCTCTTTCTTTTAGTGCTCCTATTTTATAGACAACTTTAACATTTTATTTTTACTTTGTCACAATTGCTCTATATCTTATTGACAAATTTGGTGTGGTATTTTGTGATTGAAAAATTTATGAAATAATTTTTCACTTCGCCTGATATACTATGAAATCTGCAGTAATCTAAGTATTGAGATTATTTATAGTAAAGTAGTAATTAAATTAATTGTTGTTTATTAAGGAATCTGAAATACTTTTTACCGCCAATTTTGGCAAAAACTTGCCTGAAAATAGATGCCTTTGAGTTCATAGTCTACTGTTAAAATGACCCTTTTAAACTACGTAGCAATTTTAATCTACGTATCGACAGCATCGCTTTGGAAAAGTTTAATATGCGACTATTTAAAGAGAATATGCAAGAATTTGGGTGTGTCTACATAGATAAACCATCTTGGATTGCAATTAATGAGTGTTAAGGTTACGATTGTGCAACTACATTTTAACCAGTAAGAATAACTACCGTTGATATATAAGTTGAACCACGACTCTGCTTTAAAGCACAGAATTGAATTAGAATTAACGCTAGAATTTTACTCCTAATTGATCAAAATGGTTGGTTTTATTGCAAAATTGAAAGCAAAACGACAGGCAAAGAAGGAACTTCGTGAGAAAAAGAAAGCTCAAAAGACGGCTCTAAAGGGAGATAAGAAGGCCAATCATTCACATTTGACTATGGAAGAGCAAGAGAAGAACAGAAGTAAAGGAAAAGATGCTGTAAAGGACTCCATCAAATCCCATGACAAAGACTTTCAACAGTCGTCAGTCATTACTCGGCCTACTGCGAAGGAGGAGAGTAAACTCAAAAAGGAGGAAGAGAAAAAGAAAGATCTTCACGAATACGGCAGTTCGGAAAGTGAATCTGAAGAGGAGTCATCTTCAGAAGTGCATCCGTATAGAGAAGCATCTGTGGAGAGTTCAGATTCAGATTCTGATGAGAGCTCAGATGAGGAGTCTTCGGATGAGGAGTCTTCGGACGAGGATTCTTCAGACGAGGATTCTTCAGACGAGGATTCCTCCGAAGGAACATCGAGCTCGGATGACTCAGAGGAAGATTCCTCTGAGAGTGATACGGATGATTCGACAGATTCATCAACAGAGTCTGTTGAGGAAGTGAAACCAAAATCAAAACCGATATCAAAATCCACATTAAAATCAAGCCACCGATGATCCTGCTATTCCTAATTGATGCAGAGTATCAAAGCCATTCACGAGATTCAAATACCTTTAAATGTATTCCTATATTTTTGTATTTCCCTTTAAAAATATGAACTATTAAAATCAATTGCATCTTTTACTATCTCATTCAAACATATTTTCACAATTTCATGTTTACAGTATGGGGAAATTAGACGTATGATGTGGAACATATTCACTTGGGCTCTGAGTATGTTGGATGCGTTATTGGGTAGTTTGTTGATGATATGAAGCATAATTATCAATTAGGTTTTGGTGCCTATGTATATCATAACAATTGATCAATGATTAGTGTAGTTGTCACTGTATTCGTGACCCCATTTGCTCCCCAGTGTGATTGGCTTCACTTTAACACTTTTCCGAATGTTCGAATGCACAAGGGCTTCGTAGCTTCAACCACGTGAAGACTATTGATTGGCTTTTGGCTGCGTGATCTTCAGGCTCACGATCGAACCTTCGAGTCTGTCTGAGTGGGCATGAGATTCGTTTGTTCTGCTATGACGGTGTTGTGAGCTCCACAAAAAATTGTCTGCAAAATCAAACTACTAACATTAGCAGAAGTAGGTTAATTAAATAGTTACAATGTAATGTACCTGGGGTGTGCGATAGACTTACCTCCACGTGGTGCACTCTGGACAACGTATACTCATGCGGCAAAAAAGTCTATTAATCGGCAGTTGACTTCTCACTTCAAACAACCATCACCCCCACTGTATGTCATATTCGACCCCTACAACTACTCATCTTACTCTTTCTGAGCCTTTGTGTCTGTTTCTTTACATCTTTGAAACACCCTTCTATTCCCCCTCCGGAATTCTTCTCACTTTGATATTCATCCTCCCCTCTGTAAAGCCCGAAGTCAACTAAAGGGCTAATGATAACTATCAAAACGCCTGCCATTTGTTATAAATAAATAAATGTAATGTACCTACAACACTTCAACCCAGATCACCAAATTTGCAAATTTGATGGAAATTTTTGCAAATAGATTTACAGCCAAACATTGAAATAAGTTATTGAGTTCAATCAAAAAAATTGGAATGAATTACCAGTCACGTGAAACTCGGAGCCCATATAGCCTAAATTTTCATAAAAGGTCATTTGATGTGTAGTTCCATTAATTACGTTGGTGCAGTTCGCAGCTTGTCTCAATAGGAGTATGCTGATTTTTGATGATATCAGAAATATTCTATTTCATAAAATTACCAGAAAATCGATGCTTGAGC